CTTTGTGGGAATTGACTAACTGCCACTGACACTAATACAGTGATCAGTGCTAACAATATACACTGTCACTGTACTAATGACACTGGTTGGCAAAGGATTAACATTTAGGGGCAATCAAAGGGTTAACTGTGTGCCTAACAATCTGTAAAGTGTGTATTGTATGCTGTTTTTACAAAACAATGTGCTGGTTTTTACTCCCTGCAGGGAGGAAAATAAACTGGCACATTGCTGCTGTCTGTAGCGAGCCCTGTGTTGTTTACCAACACAGGGCTCTCCTGTCATTCGCTCGGGACCTGCTGGCCAGGACTTGCTGATTGGCTTGTGCTGTAACAAATGACAGCACAGCTGGAGAGGCGGGCGAGTGCGCCCCCTACCTAGAAATACCAGATTACGTGCATGTGTGTGATCTGGCACAGGAGAGCTGCAGGCCCACAGTATATCTGCATGGGCCATTTGGCAAGCGGTTAATTTCAATAAACCATTGCGATCCTCTCAGCAAGTGTGACGTTCCTCTGGACACGGGGGCGCTCCTCTCTCCCCATTCAAGTATTTCGCTGAATCGACATCGCTATCATGCCAGTAAAGTAGCAGCCAGTACCTCCAAAGGGGGCTAACCACCACCAATCATCTGCAGAACCGCCTAATACTGACTAAGTCTAGGTTCACACCTATGCAGGTTGCGTTTGAGGCGTTTCTGCATTGCGTTTTACGTTGTGTTTTTGATGCGTTTTTGCTGGGGTTTTTTTTTTCATTTTTTTTGCTAGGCAGATTTTAAATACAAAATGTCTCAAAAATGTGGCAAAAACAGAATACATGCTTTTCTGCAGTGTTCCCATTGAAGTCTATAGAACCAAAAACGCAACATTTTGCGTTCAAAATTCTAAAGAAAATTGCATAATGTATGGCCATACATTATACAATTTTCTTGAGAATTTTGCTTTAGAGTTACCAAAAACCATATAATAGGAGGTCAAACCTAAACAACCCTTTCAATTGTATCCAATTAGGCAGTACATAGCTGAAGTAAATCTAAAACAAATTGGACAGAAAATTGTATAATGTATGGCCAGCCTTTGAGTGTTTTTCTGTTCATGGAATGTTATATCCACTTACAATGCAATGTGCCTTTGAGCTTGCTAGAACATCTGATTACTCTAGGAAAGCCACTTCCCTAGCACAGCCCCTCCCTCCTTGCACATCATAGCCCTCTCCTCTGTTTTACTGTCTGTGCTGGCCCAGCTCCTCTCCCTACACAACCTTATAGGTAGCTGCTGGGCAGGAACGAAGGAGAATTCGATGGAGAATTCTTAGCGTGTCACTTGGGTGACAGTTCTGAGTCTGCTGACATCATATACAACATGGCGGCACCCAGCAGCAGTCTCAGGGCTTTTGGGTGTCTACACCAGTGGTGTCCAAACTGTGGCCCGGGGGCCAGAGGTGGCTCTTGGCTTGCTTTTATCTGGCCCTTGGGGCACAATTTTATCCACGGATACCAACAATGGGGCATAATAACCTCCAGTGACACCAATTATGGGTCAATATCACTCACAATGACACCAACAATCAAGCCCAATGACACCAATGATGGGGCACAATTCCTCACAATGACACCAATGATGGGGCAAAATTCCTCCCACTGACACCAATTATGGGGCAATATCACTCCCAATGACACCAATGATGGGGCACAATTCCTCACAATGACACCAATTATGGGGCAATATCACTCCCAATGACACCAATGATGGGGCACTATTCCTCCCACTGATACCAATGATGGGGCACTATTCCTCCCACTGATACCATTGATGGGGCACTATTCCTCCCACTGATACCAATGATGGGGCACTATTCCTCCCACTGACACCAATTATGGGGCAATATCACTCCCAATGACACCAATGATGGGGCACAATTCCTCACAATGACACCAATTATGGGGCAATATCACTCCCAATTACACCAATGATGGGGCACTATTCCTCACAATGACACCAGCGATGGGGTGCTATTCCTTCCACTGACACCAACAAAGGGCATTGGTTTACTTCCACTGACATCTGGACCTTTTCTGCTCCCACTGGCCACAGTCCGGCCCCCTCGAAGTCTAGAGGACAGTAAACTGTCCCTATGTTTAGAAAGTTTGGAGACCCCTGGTGTCATAAAAATAACTATTGTTTGTACAAAATGAAAATGCATTCCCTTAAGGCCTCATTCACACAAGTATACCCATCAGGGGCGGACTGACAACTCATGGGGCCCCCGGGCAATAGGGATCATGGGGCCCCTGTGTCCTTTCGCAAACTCAAAAAAGCCTATGAAAAAGGTACCAGGGGCATCTCATGGGGCCCCCTACTGACCCCGGGCCCTCGGGCAGTGCCCGAGTTTCCAAATGGTCAGTTCGCCCGATACCCATGCATACAAAGGGCCATCTTCACCTGCACAGGATGCACAAGTGTTCCATGCATGCGCGTGCTGCAGCCCCAATTATGTTCCAATTTTCCGCTGGTGCATATTGTAACTTACTGGGGAGTGTGACATTTATTGTGCTCAGGGAGTGCAGCCAAAACCACTGAGGGATTCATTTTAGTTTAAGGATCAGCAATTATTCTTAGGGACTTCAAAACATTGCCAGAACAAGTGATTCTAGGCCCCAAGCCATTCAGGTTCTGGCAGTTATTCAGCCATGGGAGGAGGAGGAGGGGGATTATTCTTCAACCTTCACTGTCTGCAAAAATGTTACTCTTTATTAGTTCTTAAAGTGGTTGTAAACCTCAGACATGAAATATGAACAAAGCATATCCCTCTATAATGTGTACTTGTCTCTATCCAGAGCACTAAGTGTCACTTCTGTCTGCTGCTTCATTCCTCTACTATCAGCATGAATTACTTCTGAGAAGTTTTCCTGACACCAAGAGAAAAATGGTGACAGGAGAGAGACCTCCAGCAGATTGACAGCCTCAGGTCTGTTCCTGAGAGCTGTGTGGAGGGTGTCCCTTTCCTCCAATCAGCTCTCAGAATTCTCATCACTGAGCTCTAGTGTGCAGTTTCAGCTCTCCACAACCCTTTGTTCTGAGTTCTCAGATGAGCTTTATTAATTCAGAACTTTGAACATATGTAGAGAAAAGAATACTGCACATAAACAGGTACAACTTATGTAGGATTTGGGTCATCTCTGTGTATCACCTGAGGCCAGTCACCTCACTGGGTAGATGTAAGAGTTACAACCACTTTAACCCTTTCGTTGCCAGACCCCTACGGCATACGGACCTACAGCACTGCTTCCAGATAGCCAGGTCCATTTGCCATACGGACCTGCATTCCTCCTCTGCTATAAGCTCCTGGTCACTTCAGTGGGGGGCGCTCTAGTGTCCAAGTGGTGATCTGAAGTTTATGGGAAGCTCTAACCTCCATGGGGGGGGGGGGGGCTCTAGCATCCAAGGGATGATCTAATGTTCATGGGGCATAATCTCTGTGGGGATGCTTTAAACTCCATGGGGGGCGTTCTAGCATACAAGGGTTGGTCTAAAGTTTATGGGGTGCTGTAACCTCCATGGGGGGGGGCTTCAGCATCCAAGGGGTGATCTAAGGTTTAGGGGGCGCTCTAACCTGCAGGGGGGCTCTAACCTCTATGGGTCACTCTAGCGTCCCTAGGGTGATCTAAAGTTCATGGGGCGCTGTAACCTTCATGGGGCACTCTAACCTCCATGAGGGGCGCTCTACCAACCAAGGGTTGGTCTAAAGTTTATGATGCGCTGTAACCTCCATAGGAGTGCTCTAACCTCCATATGGGAGGCGCTCAAGCATCCAAGGGTTGGTCTAAAGTTTATGGGGCGCTCTAACCTCCAAAGGAGTGCTCTAACCTCCATGGGGGGCGCTCCAGCATCCAAGGGTTGGTCTAAAGTTTATGGGGTGCTGCAACTTCCATGAGGGGCGCTCCAGCATCCAAGGAGTGATCTAAGGTTTAGGGGGCGCTCTAACCTCCATGGGGGGCGCTCCAGCATCCAAGGATTGGTCTAAAGTTTATGGGGCACTCTAACCTCCATAGGAGTGCTCTAACCGCCATGGGAGGCGCTCAAGCATCCAAGGATTGGTCTAAAGTTTATGGGGCGCTCTAACCTCCATAGGAGTGCTCTAAGCTCCATGGGGGGCGCTCCAGCATCCAAGGGTTGGTCTAAAGTTTATGGGGCGCTCTAACCTCCATAGGAGTGCTGTAACCTCCATGGGAGGTGCTCAAGCATCCAAGGGTTGGTCTAAAGTTTATGGGGCGCTCTAAACCTCCATAGGAGTGCTCTAACCTCCATGGGGGGCGCTCCAGCATCCAAGGGTTGGTCTAAAGTTTTATGGGGTGCTGCAACCTCCATGAGGGGCGCTCCAGCATCCAAGGAGTAATCTAAGGTTTAGGGAATGCTCTAATCTCCATGGGGGGCGCTCCAGCATCCAAGGGTTGGTCTAAAGTTTATGGGGTGCTGCAACCTCCATGAGGGGCGCTCCAGCATCCAAGGGTTGGTCTAAAGTTTATGGTGGGGTGCTGCAACCTCCATGAGGGGTGCTCCAGCATCCAAGGGTTGGTCTATAGTTTACGGGCTGCTGCAACCTCCATGAGGGGCGCTCCAGCATCCAAGGGTTGGTCTATAGTTTACGGGCTGCTGCAACCTCCATGAGGGGCGCTCCAGCATCCAAGGGTTGGTCTAAGGTTTATGGGGCGCTGTAACCTCCATGAGGGGCGCTCCAGCATCCAAAGTGTGATCTAAGGTTTAGAAGGCGCTCTAACCTTCATGGGGGCAACTCTAACCTACGTGGGGGGCACTCTAACTCCCATGGGGTCGCTGTAACACCTATGTACAGCCCCCCTCCTGCCTTCAGGCAGATGACCAGCCATTCCTGCCAGCTGTTGGGACGTTCTGCACATCTTCCTGGCGGGGAGCCGGAGGTCGGAGCGCAGTGTACAGCAATGGCAGCACATGACTGCACCGAGTAGAACACATGGTCCCCCTTACCTGCCCTGGTGCATGCCCCGAGACCACACCGTCTTCACCCCCGCACTCAGCGCCCTCCGGGCCAGCCCCATCATCCTCCCCGATCTCGCCATCAGAACTCCGAACAGCCAAAGGACAATAGAACCGCCCGAGACAGCTTCGGGTACCTTTAATTTAGCCGCGCCCCCGAAGCCCTAGTCCCCGCCCCGCAGGAGGTGCCCGCCCCAGTACAGTATTCTATCACGCAGGGCCCCGATTTGCCTATCCCCGCCCACACGCCATATATGGGAGGGGGATCAGCGAGGGAGCGTCTGAAAAAGATGTGCCTGCGCTGTGGGAGCAGCTGGAGGGGGAGGCTGGGGGGGTTGGGGGGGCAGGGGGGGTTGTTGCCAACATGGGGAATCATTATGGAGAATTCCTCTGCAGAGCCAGTTATGTCATGTACAAGCAGGATCAGCCAATGGGAGGGAAGGTAAACATGTCCTGGCCTCAAATCACCCCTGAACAGAAAATAAATGCCAGGAAAGCCCCCAACACCGCCCAGCTGGCAGAGTGCCCCCCAATCAGTGCCATGAAGACTCCCCCTGAGCTGCATAGGCTGCAGATCCTGGTTGACAAGCAATACCAACCCCTGGAAGGTGACCCGTACAAATGATTGGTTGTGATGGGGGCATTTTCTGGGTTAAAACAAGAGTCGAGGAACTAACATAACTCCTCCTTACAGACTGTCACATCCCCTCTGAAAAGTGACCCTCATTGGATCGCTCTTCAGAGGGTGAGGTCAGTGTAAACAAGCCTTGGAACTAGATGTGCGTGTGTCTGTGAATGCGTTTGTTGCAGGTACAGCAGCCCATTCATGCGGGATAAAAGTCCCTTTTTTTTAAATGTTGCCACGTATGCAAAGATGCAGAGGTTATTTGCACAAGCATGCGGTGCAGTTCCTGTGCGAATCACATGCGATTATACCGCACCGCACATATATGAACCCGGGATCAAATGTGGACTTCACCTTTAACCACTTGTCTACAGGGGCGATTTTTTTACTTTTTTTTTTTTTGCACACGTTAAAATCTACATTGCTTGTTAGAAATGACAGCAAATAAACCAAAAACAAAAAAAAATATTCTGAAAGCACAGACCCTGGAGAATAATGTGGCGGTATAGTGGGCAGTGTGGTGGCAAATATTTGCGAAATACACTAAATGTAATCTCCAAACACGGAAAGGTTTCTTCACAGTAAGAGCTGTGAAAATGTGGAATAGACTCCCTCCAGAGTTTGGATTTGTGGCCAGAATAAAAGAAAAATAGAATATGAAGAAGAAAAAAAAGAAGAAATAGAATATGAAGAAGCAGAAGAAGAAGAGAAAGAAAGGAATAGAAGAAGAAGAAGAGGAAGAGAAAGAAATAGAATATGAAGAAGAAGAAGAAGAAAAAAAAAAAATAATTTCAGTCCATTATATTTGACATTTAAAAGAGTATAGCAAACATTGTATCTATTTTGTAATCCGAATAGAAACATCTGTATCCGAAATAGATAAACATAGATCCAATGTTGCAACTTTTTCTTCTTTTTATTCATATTCTATTTCTGCTTCTGCATATTCTGCATATTCTATTTCTTCTATTCCTTCTTCTTCTGCATATTCTATTTCTTCTATTTCTTCCTCTTCTGCATATTCTATTTCTTCTTAATATTCTATTTCTTTTTTTATTCATTTTCTATTTCTTCTTCTTCTGCATATTCTATTTTTTTCCTTTTATATTCTATTTCTTCTAATTCTTTCTTCTTCAAATTCTCTTATTTCTTCTATTTCTTCTTCTTCTGCATATTCTATTTCTTCCTCTTCATATTCTATTTCTTCTATTTCTATATCTTCATATTCTATTTCTTACTTTTTATTCATATTCTATTTCTTCTTCATAATCTCTGCATTATTCTATTTCTTCCTCTTCATATTCTATTTCTACTTTTTAATTTCATATTCTATTTCTTAATTCATATTCTGATTTCTTCTTTTTATTCTATTCTATTTCTTCTATTTCTTCTTATATATTCTATTTTTTCTTTTTTATTTATATTCTATTTCTTCTATTCTTCTTCATATTATATTTCTTCTTTTTATTATGATATCTTTTTCTTCTTCTGCATATTCTATTTGCCGAGGGACGTTATTGACGGGATGAAAATCAGCCGACTTTATTTTACCAATTTTGGTTAATATTTTATAACGTCTTTTATATGGTCCGCTGAATTATTTGAAAACCGATTTTTTGGTTTTTCTAAAAAAAAAATATGGGCCAGGTTTTTTTCCGCCAGTAATCTATGGCCTGCATTGTCCTCATGCAACGGGACGTTTTTTACAGCAGCTCTTTTTGAAGTTTTTGTCTTTTTGATAGTTTTTTTTTCTACAGCCAGTAAACTCCCAGCATGTTATTCTATGTGCACACATAGACTGGATCAATGTTTTTTGGCTGGAAAAAAGAGAGAAAAGAAAGAAAGAAAAGAAAGGAGGGAAAAAACCCACGAGACCTAATGGGATTCTAGAGGAAGCTTCTAGCTGTAAATAACACTCTAACGCTGAAAAAAAAAAACGAGGTTAAATCGCGATAAATCATGGCAAACCAGCGTTGTAACCTTTACACTTTTTTTAACTAAAGAAAAATTTTTTTTTTCTTGATAAAAAACCTCTAAAACCTCTAGAAGGAAGGGAAAAAAACAGTACACGCAAAAAAAACGCTGCAAAACGCTAATGCAAAAATGCTGGAAAGAAAAAATGTTGGAAAAAAAAAAACTCACATTTTTTTAACGTGACTTTACACAGAGCTAACATATTACCGGCGTTATTAAAATGCCGCCGTGTGTATGGAGCCTGAATGAAAATTCTTTGGTTTTCCAGCCCCATGTATGGCAGGCTTTAATAAGCGAAGTTTCCACCGCCTATTATTATAGATTGGTCTCCTGCTCCCCATTTAAGTGGAAGCGCCGAGTGGCACTTTTGGGGAGCGGGGAGGAGGGTTGGGGGGTGGGGATGCGGGCAGGGAAGGGTAACCCGAATTTGACAGGTACCAGCCTCCCATTTTTCCGATGGCGATTGCCTAGGCCGGGGGTAGGCAACCTGAGAGCCAGCAGGACTACAAGTTCCATCATGCCTCTGCAAGTCATATAGCTGTAGTTTTGTGTTAGGGGATCTTTGCAATGCCTTATGGGATGTAGTTCCCACGACAGCTATTTTTTTTTTTCCGTGAAAGGTCTGCCACCCCTGACTATTGGATACTTGAGAAAAGGAAGATATGTCCTTCTTAGCGTATCCTAGAAGTCTTGAAAGGGAGCAGGACGGTGACAGGTATTCAGATGACGACTGTGAGGACAATCCAGGCATTAGAGAGGCGGTACATCGCACATGTGACAGAAATGGTGTAAGCCTGAGCTTTGGAAGGATGGAAGCGTGAAGAGTAAGGTGCACACACTTTGAAAGAATAAGGACCTCCCTGGAAGGATGAAAGGAGACCTAGTGAAGGAACGAGTAGGGCTATTATGTTGGCAATGTTGAGGTCTTGTCGTGGATACTTTTTTTTTTAGAGAGAGAAAGGATGAAGCTCATGGCAATTTCTAAAGTGAGTAAGGATGGATGCGGAGAAGAATAGTCAAGGGAGGTAGAGGTATGAAAATGATGGCAGGAAGGAGGAAGAGTGAGAGGGGAGGCTTAAAGGTAGAAGACAAGAAGGGATACTGCAAGGATAAGAGAGGAGAGTTGAAGATAGCGCAGGAAGAAGAAGGAACCCATAATGAAACAGAGCTAAGGTTAGAGTCGGGGTGCGTAGCTGCTTAAGATTGGCTTTTAGTGAAAGGTTGTTGAAAAGAAATTGGTTGCTGTAAAGATGGTTTAGAAGGGAAAGAAAGAGAAAGTTCAAAAGAAAAAGAGGAAGAAAAGTTGCCCATTAGAAAAAGGATTCTAGAATGGAAGTGTAAGAAGTTGGGAGAAGAAAAATGTTATTTTTGACATTGGGGGGGTGCGATTTGTTGAGAGCTTACAGAAAAACAAGTGTGAATGGAAACTTGTTTGCCCGCTTACACGTTAATTCGCGTCATCCGCCATGGACTTTAGTTTGAAAGTACAGCATAGCTGGAGTTGGCCTACCGCCTTGGCGGGAAGTGCAGTATAGGTGAAGAAGCTGCTGTTGGAAGAGGGGAGGGTTATATGGGAGAAGCCGGTGTACCACCCGGGATAAAAAGAAATAGGGAAGGGATCGGGATTCCATGCAGTGCACATATGTAGTCGGAAGTGTTTTGACGATTCGAAGGCTTTAAGACGTCGCTGAACAAGGTAAAGGCAAGGAAGGATTGCATATAGAAGATGTCATGTAAGGGATAGACTTTATAGGCTTGGTAAGGAAAGGAAAGAAGGTTGGGTCTGAAAAGAAACAACTCCTGGGGGCCCCCGGGCAAGGGAGGATCATGAGAGTCGGGAAGGACCTGTGTGTGAAGCGAAACTAGGCTTTTGCTAGTAGATGGAAGTACTTAAGGTAGCCAGGGGCTTCTTCATGCTGTGATCAGGACAGTCCCTACTGAGGTAAGTTTAGTTGTTGGCGTTCTAATGTCCCAGATGGTTTTCCATAGAAAGGTCGGATGTCCGCCCCTGTTGCGAGCACAGGACGGAGGGATGGTTCCCCCTCTGTGAAGGAAGTGAGTTGAGTAAGTGAACTGACAAACAGTCGGATGGGAAGGGTGTAGAGTAAATGGGAAGCGGCGTGCACTGTGTGTGGAAGATGGTAGTGTGAAAGTGAATTAGGACCCAGATCTGTGAAAATGGGCTGTGGCCTTCTCATAGTTAGTGAAAGTGTGATAACTGATAGAAGGTAGGTGAAGTCGCGGAAGGGTAAGATTGTGCGGTTGTTGGAAGAAGATTGAGATGCATCGCTAATGGAAAAACGCTCTGGCTGTGTAGAGTGGTTGGTGGTTGTTTTGTGGGATGATATAGAGATGTCAGGGATGAGGACATGCGATGTGTAGATGGTGTGCAAGGTGGAGGTGGTTTTATCCGATTCAATAAAAGTGGGGCAAGTACGGGGGGGAACCACAGAATGATGGTTG